TATATATATAAACAGTGATTATGACACAATTTAAAATTAATTTTAACAGAAATACAGATAAGAGGCTGGATAAATCTATTCTGAGCTGGTTACTTACAATCCTAGGTAAATTTTTAGGCATTTTTCTTTTAGAAGCAGTCTTTTTATTTCCAGATTCATTTTATGTTCTCACAGTTAGTTCATATTTATTTTTGTTTTCTGATCAATGCTAATCATATGTTCCATTAGATACTGCTTACTGCTGATGTAAAATTCAAAGAATTGACTCATCCTCCTTGCCTTGATCTTGTTTTGGCTTTTTAGTTTTTCTTTTCATCAAAAAATATCGTCCTTACTCTCTTTGCTTTTTCTTTGATCATGTTTCAGTGCCTGTCAATAAAAAGTTACATTTTCTCTCTTAAAAGCGTAGGTTTAATGATGAGTAAAGAATGTGAAACACTTTTAAGATGAAAATCAGTACTGATTGAAAAACATAGTAGTAAAATAGTGTTAATAATGAAAACCACCGCTACCAGTCTGAATGCAATTTGTGCCTCAACATTAGAGGTGTAATGGTACATATGTTTGTGCAAAACCATCATGGTGAACAGATGAGTAACAGATATAGGAAGCAGGCAAAAAAAAAAAACAGATCAGAAATAATCAATCACTTCCATTTTCAGGAATGCACTTTTTTTTTTTTTGCAAATTGCCACAAAAGAAAAAAAAAATCTAATGTAGGCCACTATTATACAGTCCTCTTTACACAGGAGGCTGAAGGTGATGAATGCATTGTGGGCGACAAATGTACAAGCTGCACCCAAGTTGCTGTTGGCTGCTTGGAGACAGAAATATCCAGGAAACCGGCCTGGTTATTTTTTAGCTACTGCGTTTGTGCGTCTAACATTTTGTCAAAGAAAAGCTCTGGCTTCACATTTATTGATGAGGAGGGGAGAAATAGAACAGTGATTACTCATAATACACTCAAAGTTCATGGATTTTAGGCTATTTCACGCTGAAGATTCTGCAAGAACTGCCCCCGTGTTTATCCCACGCTGAGTAGAAAGCAGTGTTTGAAGGAGAACTGCAGAAAGACTCAAATATTTTAAAAATGTTACTGTGACTACAACTTACAGTGTGTTGTGCGCTGTACTGAACACAACTTGCCACAGACAGGCAGTTTGTGGGCAGAGCGCACATCAACTCGACCAACACGTAGTTTTTTTTTTTTCATTTAGCCTTTATTTATCCAGGTTAGTCTCATTGAGCCACGAGAACTCATTTTCAAGAGAGACCTACCAACACGTAGTATTCACCCCATCACTCTGTCAGTGGATATAAATACTCCAATGATTCGTTGAAAGGTATGACCCACACATGCACAAACTCTTGTTTGCTTGTGTGTTTTCATCAATGTACTGTCATGGGTCTATAGACAGCCTGCTTAGTGGAAAGTTGTGCTTTGTGCAACCCCCAACCCCCCGTGTGCATGCACGTGTGTGTCCTTGTGCATGTGTGTGTGTGTGGAAACCCAATAATTTGAAAGGAACCTTTCTTACAGCTAGATGTACCCATACACCAAAATGAACGTTGGTACAGTAGTTACTTTTCAAATTATCATGCACAGATAGATGGGAGCAATGGTGGACATTAACAAATTTGTATTTTGTTATTTTTGTATTTTTTGTATGTGTTGTACCAGACTATACCTTACTCCCACATCTAGGCATGTACTACTGAACCATGACCCAAGCAAACCATAATAGCCCTAGTCAAAATGTTTCTTTTAGATTTGAGAAGAATGTAATTTATGATGTAAAGACAGATGTTATCTCATAATTCAAAATAATGTAGCTATTGTTAAAAAAAAAAAAAAAACAGGAAATAATGAGTGGCTACAAAAGCTTATTTATTATATTTAGTGGTAACCCATAAGTGTAAATAGTATTTTTACAAGTGTTGACAAGCTTATTAAAATGTAAATGATATAATAAATTAGATACAAACTGAATTAATGTATTTGACTAAGAACAACAACAAAAAAGGAGCTATCACAAAACACACCAGTGTGCCATTATAATCCAATTAATTTGTTAGAAGGCCTTATTACCAGAGGACATGGATTGAAATGTGCTATTTGCTCTGTTGATATATCCTAAGTCCTTGAATAAATGCAGTTTGTCCAGTAACTCTGACCTTTTTCTTCCCTGGAGGGGTAAACACACTCTTTTCTAACCACACTGTCTGTGAAAGCTACACGAGAATGACAAGGGGATTTAGAAGAAGACACAGTATTCTGCCCAAGTTCAGAGGAAAAACAGAAGCAATGTTTCTTACCAGCGGATGTGTGAACTCAGGGGCATGGTCGTTTTTATCTGTGATAGTAATGGTAGCTGTTGCTGTTCCTGTTAGGCCCACCTCGCTTCCTGCCATGTCCTTGGCCACAATCTCTAACTCGTATGTTGTAGTCGGGAGTGTCTGGAGAGTGAACACACATGATGTAGAGTTAGAGATACAAACATGTACACGTATTAATCTAAACAAAACAACAAAGAAGACAAAATACAACAATGTTTTGCACCCATCACAAAGTAATAGCCACTTAAAATTTATGAAGATGATTACAGGTGCTGGTCATAAAATTAGAAAATCATGAAAAAGTAGATTTATTTCTACAATTCCATTTAAAAAGTGAAACGTGTACATTGTATTAATTACACACATACTGATATATTTTTAACCAGTACAAGCAAAAGAGAGCACATTACACCAGTTTTGGCCTCACGGCACTGGTTACCAGTTCACTTTCGAATCCAGTTCAAAATACTCCTGTATGTCTACAAATCACTGGACAGCCCCCCCCCCCCCCCCCCCCCCTCCCTCTGATCTGCTACAATCGTATGTCCCACCACGTTCCCTGAGGTCAGCGGGCCAGTAGCTCCTCACAATTCCAGGAACGCGTCTTAAGCGCAGAGGTGACAGGGCCTTCTCTGTAGCAGGACCAAGACTCTGGAACGAGTTACCTCTGCTTGTCAGACAGGCCCCCTCCCTCTCGGTTTTCAAGTCCCGTTTAAAAACCCACTACAATTCAGTAGCTTTCAACAGCAGATGATCTGTGTTTTGAACCTGTATGCTCCACACTGGTTAGTCGTCATTATCTGCATCATTTTTATGTCTATATATTTCTGATTTGATTCATTTTGTATTTTGGTTTGTGTGTTACCTGTTGTTCTGTCTGTACAGCACTCTGGTTGGCCTTGTCACTGTTTTAAGTGCTCTATAAATAAAATAGTATGGTATAGTATGGTATATTTCAAATGTTTATTTATTTTAATGTTGATGATTATAACTGACAACTAATGAAAACCCCAAATTCAGTATCTCAGAAAAGTTGAATATTGTGAAAAGGTTCAATATTGAAGACACCTGGTACCACACTCTAATCAGGTAATTAACTGAAAACACCTGCAAAGGCCTTTAAATGGTATCTCAGTCTAGTTCTGTAGGCAACACAATCATGGGAAAGACTGCTGACTTGACAATTGTACAAAAGACGACCATTGACATCTTGCACAAGAAGGGCAAGCCAAAAAAGGTATTTGCTAATGAGACTGGCTGTTCACAGAACTCTGTGTCCAAGCACATTAATAGAGAGGCGAAGGGAAGGAAACGATGTGGTAGAAAAAATGTGTACAAGCAATAGGGATAACCGTATCCTGGAGAGGATTGTGAAACAAAACCCATTCCAAAATGTGGGAAAATTTCACAAAGGGTGGACTGCAGCTGGAGTCAGGGCTTCAAGAACCACCACACTCAGAAGTATGCAAGACAAGGGGTTCAGCTGTCACATTCCTTTTGTCAAGCCACTCTTGAACAAGAGACAGTGTCAGAAGCGTCTTGCCTGGGACTGCTGCTGAGTGGTCCAAAGTTATGTTCTCTGATGAAAGTAAATTCTGCATTTCCTTTGGAAGTCATAGTCCCAGAGTCTGGAGGAAGAGAGGAAAGACACATAATCCACGTTGCTTGAGGTCCAGTGTCAAGTTTCCACAGTCGGTGATGGTTTGGGGTGTCATGTCATCTGCTGGTGTTGGTCCAGTGTTTTCTGAGGTCCAAGGTCAACACAGTCGTCAACCAGGACGTTTTAGAGCACTTCATGATTCCTAATCTACCAAAGATTTGAGAATTAGAATTACTAAATGACAGAATACAGGTAAAAACATCCTGTAAATGTACACCATTAGGTTCACATAACAGCTGACAAAACCTCCCTAGAAACATTTGCTACAGGGAAAAAAAATAAATAAATAAATCATAAATGCAAGAACAAACAGTGTGGTTAAAAAAAAAAAAAAATAAATAAATAAAGATACCTAATATTGAGCAGGTTCATATCAGACTAAAATCAAACTCATTCATTTTAAAGATTCCACGGAGCTGTTCATGCTGCTCAGTGCTCCAGAGCAACAGAGATCAAGGTTTTGAGGATTTATTTGAAAACACCAAGCATTTTTTTTTCTTATAACCTGTGAAATTATATTTTAAACTGTGAACATTGTTGGGCTAGAAGATTTTTCACACTGATTTATTTACTTATTATTTTTCAATGCTTGTTTACTTTGCTTTGTTTGACATTGAAATTACTTTTTTTGTTTTTATTGAATGCATGAGCAGATCTCAATTCTTACTTAAATCATTCTTAGTGTGGTACTTTCTTTACTTGCCTTGGCTTTTCTCAGGATATTAAACAGGCAGTCAGTGTCTTTCAGACCCTTTTGATAAGACTCACCACATCTTGTTTAGCCTATCCAAGGTGTAACTGATCAAAAGGCAGGAAACAATCTGGGCAAGTTGCATACATAAGAGACAAACATCAATGCACAGTCTCTTTTCTGTTTGTTTAGTATTACCAGTTAACCTGAAATGTCTGCTGTGGGGTTGAAAAAGGAAGCCAGAGTACCTGAAGAAATCCACACAATCAGGCAAAGATTGGCATGAGGAGTTCAAAATATCAAAACTTTATTTCAACCTAAACAAAAAGCAGTTGTGGCAGAAAACCATACAAGGCAGGATCAGAACAAGGAGGCACAAAGAGACAAGGAAGCACAGGGAAAACCAGACTGTGGCATGAAAACCAACAATGCTCACTTGACAATGAAGAAGAACTGAGGGAATTAAAAATGCTGAGGTTAACGAGAGAAGTGGCTGAAGCTGTGACAGATGAAACAGGGAGCAGGTGGAGATGGGTGTGGCAGGCTGACTGAGGAAGAGGCGATACGAAAAAAAAAAACACAACTAAACACAAGAATCACAAAACATTGCCAAAAAAGAATAAACCTATTAATCAACCTAAAAAAAAAAAAACTTATCCTGCCAGAAACTTGATGAAAAAAAAAACAGGAAGTGAAGCAATAAAAGGCATTGCATTTAATTCGTCTCAACATATCGTCTCTTGTGATACTCATATTCAGAAAAAAATCTTCATTATTTTATTTTTTGAATAAAGTTATTACTCAAACCCCATGAATAGATAATGATACGCCATTTATTTGCTGTGTTGTAACATCAACTGCAGCTGGAAAAAAAAAAGTTAGTTAAAAAGATTTAAAACACTAAATTAGTCCGCATAACATGTTATAGGTTGGCTCTAAAACAAAGTTAAATTTGAGAGAATATGTAGAAAAAGACAAGTTATATGTTGCCAAAGCATGAAAATATGGACTCTGTGCTTGAATTTCTCAAGAAAGCCTCCTGAAGGAGGTAAATAAATCAGTTTGACTGGACCACTGGAGCCACTGGGAGAATTAAGTAGGGAATTGTCTGAGTAATTCCTGCTGATTGATTAATGATATGAGCTGGTAGTGTTAAGCAGGAATAGATGCAGAGGGGCTGACAGTATAAATCATTTTACACTTTGTTAGAATGCCTTAATGCCATGTTCAGTTTTATGGAAATATATATTGCAAAATTAAAGCTACACATACATAATTTTTCAACACAACACCTATGAACAACCCCAACCCTTCTAAAAAGAGAGAGTGAAAAACTAAACAAAACTTGGAGTTTCCCAGCTTCTCTTTTCACCATTGTAGTTTATTTTGAAAGGATATGAAAAGTGAAAGGAAAAAACAACAACTATAGACAAGGTGAGCTCAGCTTCACTGTCAGAAAACATGCCCCTCCCCAAACCTACATTTAGCAGGAAAAAAATGAAGTACTGTACACGTTGCACTGCCGTATAAGTCGCATCAGTCCAAAACTGTCTAATAAAGTGGAAAAAAAACATAAATAAGTCGCTTCGCCATATAAGTCACATCTATAATGTGTCACCACTGACACGTTGCTGACCACCTGGAACCCTGGGCCAGTGTTGTGGCAAAAAACTGATTGGCTGCTAAATGGTGGGTGCGGGAGCGTGCACGGGAGGACTTTAACAAGAATTTAACAAGATTAACATTTAAAAGCAATTATTTGTTTGCTATAAATTATAGCAAAGGTGCATCTCCGTTTAAATTTTTCCTTAATAAATGCACTTTAATGGTCAAATCAGCTGCATTTCACCTGGGTGGTGCAGTGAAATGCAGCTGATTTGAAGTTTGCTCCAGGAGTTCCGGAGCGAGACCAAGTGTCTCATTAATAACCCCTTTTACCTATTAATGAGACACTTGGCGTACCATATTGCTAAAGGGTCCTCTAGCGGCTGAAAATAGTAGTGTTCAATATTTTCCATGTCAGAATGAATGAAATCATCAGATCTCAGCCAAAAATTGGGTTATAAATATGGGGGGGGGGGGGGGGGAGTATATTAATCACATTGGTATATAAGTTGCAGGACTTGCAAATTTATGCAAAAAGGTGCAACTTCTATCTCAAAAAATACAGTATAAGGATTCTGAGCTAGCAAAACTAGCATTAGCACACGTAGTGTTTCAGCTTACAGTTTTGGAGTGAGTAAACTTTAATCTACTGCAAGGCCCAACTGTGTGGACAAGGTTAGTTTATGCATAACAATCAAATAGGCAACAATCCAAATAACGAAGCAACAGCTGAGGACAGCACCTGTTAACTTGTGTTCTTTACTTTTAGATTTTATCGCTGTATTTATTACTTGTTGTGGTATAAAACCTAGCCCTGCATGAGTAATGACCAAAATAAGCATGCATTGTAAGAAGCCAGAGTCATTGCAGGCTGGTCTTATGTTTAGAGAAAGGGGAACAGGGTTGGTAGAAGGAAGACAGGGTTCAAAGAAAAATAAAATGAATACCATAAATTTTAAGTACTTTTGTCAAGAACGTTCATCCAAACACCAGGTTTAACCACAATTTTCACTGTAAGAGCACAACGTATTGTAGCTAAAAGGTATGAGTTTATACAGTCTGGTAAGAAAATCATATTTTACATATTAATATAAAACAAAGGTCAATTAGCTTCAAGCTAACTGTAATAAAATGAACTACAATTTAAAAAGCTCTAATTGTGTA